CCAGTGGGTTAATCAGATTGAGCTGCTACTCCTGAGAGAGAGGGTCAGCCTCCTTTCAGGAGGGTCCCTTGGGCTCCCTTTCTTTGTCTCGTGTCCTTGGCCTTCATTCTAAAGGGGAGTCCCCCTCTCCCTCCCACAATCCATCCAGGACCTGCTGGACACCAAGGTAGACAAGTGAACAGGATGGGATTAGTGCTGGACAGGTAAACTGAGTCTAATCCCTTCCATCAGATGGCTCATGCTTCCTAAGTGCCAGCGCCTGGACTGTTGGGCCGAAGGTGTCTTCTTTTGCTCCAAGCCGGACTGCCTAGTTCCTAGGACACTACGTTAAGAGCTCCTGGAGAGTGGGATCCTGTCAAAGGTCAAGCCCATGTGTGTGTGTGTGTGTGTGTGTGTGTGTGTGTGTGTGTGTGCTGCTCCATTCTTGGGGTGAGATTTCAGAAGTGACTGGAACCACTGCCATAGTCAAGAACGCAGAGCCATGCCTGCCCTTAGGGCACGCTGCATAGTTTTCTTTAAGGGAACATGAAGGGGACAATCCTTTCTATTCTCCTGTGGAGCCAAGGGCAGCAGGAGGTGGTGAAACTGCCATGAGCAGCCCTGGCACTGCTATTGCTCCATCTGGCATCTTTTCTCAAGAGCGTTTATGGTTTGTGCGCACTTCATGTGGGCGGGCCCTGCCCCTCTCAGCTCCAGCTGCCTCTACCTCATGCCAACCCGACGCCCCAGCCCTGTGTGCTCGCTGAGGGAGCGCAGTGAGCAGTCCGGACCCCAGGGACCTGGTTAGGAGGGATACGCTGCAGGTCTGCCTGGGACCTGCGAGTGAGCAGGTGCTCGCTGTTTCAGGCACATGCTAGCTTCTCTATGGTCTCAACAGCGAGATGAAGGCCAGGAAAGCGAGGGAGGCACAGACAGGCAGTTAAGGGAAAAATCGCTCAAGGACACTATTTCAAATGTAATGTTCAGGTGAGAAGAAATCCACTTGCTCTAAGAAGGTGAGGAGACCAAATGGAAGGCAGCCTGTGATGGGGCCGGGGGTCCACCCTTAGCCTCACCACACACACTGGCTCCCGGGCGAGTATCAGCCAGTGCACATATGAAATGCTCAGCTACTCTTGGTGAAATCTGACTCTGCCACCTACTCGGCAGGTCTTAACAAAAGGCACATTCCGGGTTCTCTTCCTGTGTTGTGACGAAGCATAAACAATCCCAAATACAGCTGAAGAACCGCTAGCCTTTGGCCACTCAGGCTCTCTCAAAAGACCAATAGTTCTTCCACATGGTAGTTACTTTCTCCTCTTCATAAAACAACAGGAAATTACCCAAGTCTGGTGGCATTGAGACAGTACGGACTTGCCTGATGTCAAGGTCAAGCTTTGGGCTGAAACCAGTCCCCGTCCCCTGCACTGTATTGACTTAGACCAGACTGTTACATAAGGCCAGCATGGCCGAGAGCTGACCCAAACCACAGGAGGACAGCTGCAGCAGGGCCCATCTTTCAGCTGCTCCACACTGCTCAGGTAAGACATGCTTTCAAGCTAATTGAATACACATGCACCCCTCACATTAGCTCCAGAAAACAATGTAATCAACAATAACGGAATTTGCTTCCTAAGTGCCAGCGCCGGGCCTGTTTAACCAAAATTGTCTTCTTTTGCTCCAAGCCTGACTGCTCAGTTCCTAGGACACTACGCTAAGAGCCGGCATGGCGTGGAGGGTGCCAGACCTGCAGGGGACAGTGGACACAAGGATTCAAAACTTTAGGCAAATTTTCACTCCCTATGATGCTGATTGTTTTCTTACACTGTAGAAACTTAAATGTTCCATTACGCTTATTAATAAGCAACATCCTACCAAGTCTCCTGGAGAGATGCCTCCGTTTCCTCAGATCCTCTTTACAAGACTCATGCTATCGCCCTTCTGAAGGTGAGGACTCACAGTGCTAACTGGCAACGACTTGGGCAAATGCATCAATTTGGGTGGCTGCATATCTCACTCAGTTGACACTTATTTCTTAACGGGCTCTGTTGTCATTTTGTTGTTTTCCAGGCTTTTTACAGATTTTGAAGAGTGATAGTCTGATTTTACTCTGGTTGCATGTGTGACAGATGCCAAATGGGATTCCTGCCCAGGAGCTGAGTGCCTATGAGGTATATGAAAACAGGGTAGACCAGCTGCCTGTCTTTCCAGCTGCTCTTATGCATACCTGCTCTGCCATCCTAAAGGAGGCAGAATGGAGCTCTAAACCGAATACTGTGTGTGTGTGTGTGTGTGTGTGTGTGTGTGTGTGTGTTGGGGAGGCTATTGCTAAACATTTGGCCTGGACATAGGCAAGGTTGTGGAAGTGATGAAGATGGTTTGACCAACAGGACCTGCCAAGTCTGGCCAACAGCAGGAGCAGAGCTTGAGGACAACAGCTAGGAAAGTCGCTGGACCATCAGCAGACCCACAGGGACACACGATGAGCTTAAGCTGTCTGTGCAGAATGCAGACTCATGGCGTTGCCTGGCCATCGAGGGAGGGCTTTTGCAAAGCTGGCATTTGGAGCCACCTGCTTGCCTCTACAAGACAGCATCCTTGAGTCTCCTTGAAAAGCGGTTTGCCCTGGATTTCACCCAGTGCTTGCTTTATCTTGCACACCCATCCACCACGTGGGTGAATGACATGGCCCAGTTTGCCAGGGTCATTGCCAGTTATAGCTCTGCAAGTCCTACACCCTGGGAAATCCTTCAGTCCCCCGCCCCCATCACAGGTCTTTGGTTTTCAGACAGCCCTGGTCAGAGGGACAGCTTCAGTGCCAGTTGGGCCTGGCTGGACCGTCTCTGGCCATCACTGCAGCTGTGTCCTGCTTGCTTGGCAGTTCACCTCTCTTTACCACCCCAGGTCAATTCTTTTCCAAAGCCACTGCCCTCCCCTCCTCCAGGTAATATTCATAAAGAACAGGGTAAAAATGTGCGAAACAACTTATGTGAGTTGGAGGTCATTGTAAGTGTAAGATTAGAAATGCATTTTTTTAAAAAAGAGAGAAAGAGCGATTAGTTTGAAAACTGCATAGCTGAGAGCAGAGCTTCCAGGCATTACCCCCATGAGAAATGAGAGCAGCGTGGAAAGTTCACTTTAAACAAAATGGCATCTTGTTCCTTTGGTGAGAAAGGTCCTTAACCATCTGCTGGGTGGGCATCTCCTTCACAGCAAGTCTCACCTCTAAAGTTTCAGTCTCAGGGGAGCAGCCTTCTTACTGTCTGAGCGCTGGGGGCACGAGGCCGCTAGTTTGTCTGGTTGGCGGGGGGCTGCTGGAGGAGCCGCCAGGAAAGGGCTCTGCAGGGCCTTCCCCAAGTGGCCGGAGAAGCCAGCCCCCCGCGCTGCTCAGCTGTCCAGGGAAGGACAGAGAGAAGGAGGAGAAGTAAAGTGCACTCTTCACTTTGGAGACAGATTCTTGATCCTCTTCTTATAAATTTTAAAAATCCCTTGAAATTCGCCTTGGAGGGGAAAAAATCTCCTAACGGTTAACATAAAACTGCACTACCAACAAGCAAACGATATAGGTCATGTAACTAAGTATAGATTGCAAGGACATATATCTTAAAAGGAAAAAAACCCTAATGCACAATATTTACCAATACTTAAATAATCCAGTTGAAACCTTTTATGTCATTAATGAAAAATACAACATAGACGGTTACCTATAGTGAGAAGAGCAGAAATGATGAAAGTTGGGGAGAGGACAAAGAGAGTCCATCCATTAGAGCTTTGCAAGATTCATATATACAGCACCAGGTCCTGTTAAATCAGCTCCCTTGAGTCAGTACAGTTTGTGAGAAATGAACACTTCAGAATTGCAGTATAAAATATGGCCATAAAAAACTTCTGTCTTCCAGTCCTGTGCAGGTCGGCGCACCATGCAAGGTGGGGTCACTCTGGGGTGGCTGGTGGCACTGGTGGCCCTGGGGACCCCCTTCCCTGGCTCTGCCCGAGGCCTCGCCCCTGGGCCCCACATCCAGAGCCAGTCACTTGCTTCCAGAGTGCACAGTCGTCACAGTGGTGGGCCTCGGTCTCCGCTCGGCTCCCACTCCGGGGACCCCTGATGAAGAGGAAATGAAACTACAGAGCGTGGAGGGTGCCAGACCTGCAGGGGACAGTGGACACAAGGATTCAAACTTCAGAAGGAAATACTCCCCCTTCTTATGGCAAAGGTTTGTGCAGGGGCCAAACTTCTCCACATTGGACCCTAAACATTTACCTGTCCATAGGAAAGCAATTGCAATGTGTTCAGAATGCTTTCTTTCTAGACCCAACTCTTCCCTCCTTTTTTCATTATACTTATAACTGCTTTGTATTTGAATACCACATGGGGTAGCCACCACAATCCGATAGGTTCCAGAATGAGCACTTACTATGTACTAGGTATCAAACTAGGTGCTGAATAAACACTGTCATTACGAGAACAACACTTCATGAAGTTGTTATTTTAAGAACGAAGAGAGAATGTGATGCCCCTATGACCCCTGCTTGTGTGTGGTCTGCACTCTTGGCTAAGAAGCACCTGGACAGAGAGCACACCGAGAGGGGCTGTTGCCTATCCCATGTGAGCTCAGCAGCCCTGGCCTGAACTTGGCCCTCACAGACCCCAGTCAAATGCATCCCAAGTAGAAGTGTTGCACCGGGAGGTCTGGATGTGGATGAATCCACTGAGCTAAGCTCCAGTAGTGTCCCCCCATGGACTTTGCAGGCTTGGAAGATCCATAAAATAAATGATTCTGATGGCTTCACTGTCAGAGCTGTTGCATAAATATTCAAAGAAATGACCTACTGTGGGTTTCCTTTGACCAGAGGGTGGAGAGGAACTATGCTGACTTGGAAACGTGGGTCTACGGGAGTGTGCAATTGGGTTGGGGGACTCATGGAGATTTTTCATTTTTAAATATATTTTTATTGTTGATAGTATTACAGATTTGTCCCATCCCCCCTTCCCTCCTCTTCCAAGCCCTTACCCACCCCCCCACCCAGGTCTTCACTACCCTATTGCCCGTGTCCATGGGCTATGCACATAAGTATATACATTCTTTGGTTTATCTTCATGGAGAGTTCTTGGAAAAACTGAAGGGCTGGAATTCCTGAATGAGATGGAAGGATTATTTAGTGATGAAGCAAATCTTTTTCTAAGGGAAATGAGAAGAACTGTGATGCCCAGAATGAAACCAAACTGACTGAAGGGTGCTCCGTAGCTAGGAAGCGAGGGCGGATGGGGAAGATCAAGGCAACTGCTCAAAGTAGAGAGGAGCCACTGGAATGGCCAGATGTGAGATTACGATAAATATAAGGGGGGGTATGGGAGAGAGAAATAGGGGAGTGTAAGTGCATCCTCAGTGACATAACGTCCCATGCCAAGATGAAGGACAAGGAAATATGATTACTATTACTTTGATTGTAAAGCCAATGCATTTTATATAAATCAGCTCCAATTATCATCATCCTCATCAAAAAATAGATGAAAAGTCAGTGAGAGCAGGCTGCCAGGAGTCTCTGCCATCCCTTCCTCAACCCTTAACAGTGACTCAAAGACAAGCAAATCAGAGGGCAAGGAGATAGAGCAGAAAGTGTCTGGGCTTTTGTCCAGACAGACATGAACTTGAAACAGATTCATCATCTATAAATAAAAATATCAGTGCCTAGGGTTGTGTGTATATTAAATAGTGCATTTTCATTATGTAAATTGGTGCAGCCACTATAAAAACAGTACAGAATTCCTCAAATAAATAAAAATAGAGTACTGCATGACCCAGCAATCCCTCTTCTGGGTATCTACATGAAAAAATTGAAAACACTTATTTGTAAGGACATATGTATCACTATGTTCACTGCAGCATTATACACAGTGGCCAAGGCATAGAAACAACCTAAGTGTCCTTCAATAGATGATTATATAAAGGAAATGTGGTACATATACACAATGGAATACTGCTAGGCCACAAAAAATATGAATTACTGCCACATGACATACTGCTAAATAAAATAAGCCAGGCAGAAAAGGCCAAGAACCTTGTGATTTCACTCATGTGTGGGATATAAAACAGAAAGCAACAAACAAACACCCCCCCTCACCCCCACACACAAACTCATAGTCACAGATACAGTCTGATGGCTACCAGAAGGAAAGGGAGATGAGGATGAGGAGGATAAAGGAAGTCAAATACAAGGTGAAATAAGGAGACTAGGCTTTGGGTGGTGAGCACACAACAGCAAATACAGATGTCATAACATAAAGATGTTCACTTGAAACTTGTATAATGCTACTAACCAATGTCACCCCAATAAATGTGATAAAAGAGAAAATATTTTAAAATATTAAATCATGTCCTAGGATTGTTGGGAGTATTAAATGGGGAAAATTATTGAAAGTGCCTAACATACAGCAGGTACTCAGCAAATGACAGCGCCCTCCTCTCTATCCCAGATCTCCAGTTGAAAAGCTGTTTTTGCTCCATACTCACAATCATTTTGGCCGGCCAAGCTGAGGCTGCCTGCATTTGAACTGTCCAGGCTGCTGCCAAGATGGAGTCTTCTCATATGCCTCACGACGGCGGTGGCATTAAACGCTTGCTGAAATTCAAGAAAGGACAAAAGCAGGCAAAGTAATTCCAGCTAATGAAAAAGATGCAGACTGCCTCCTATTATTTTTCCTGTCACTCGAAGCATTTCAAACTTCTAAAACTGTTCTCATGATACTCTAGAAAGAAACTTTACATTGCCCCTTCTTCCAAAAGTGTACCAATGGATTTGACCCCTCTCCCAATCAAAATATATTTTGGAGAAAAAAACATTTTTCTTCTCACATAATAGACATACAGAATAAATGTAAACTAGTTCTCTCTATAATCTAAAAGAAGTGACTTTTAGAAAACATAATCAGTGAGTATATGCAAATTAACTGTCAGCCAAGATGGCGGCCGGCAGTCAGGCACTGAAGCCAGCATGAGCTTGCTTGCTGATTTTGTTTCTGTATGGCCCCTCACTGCTGGCACTTAAGGACCCGAGTTGATTAGAACACCGGTTTACTGAGGTAACCAGTTGATGGTCACAAAGCCCCAATAATTTACACTCATCACATTTTTATCAGAAAGGATGGATGGGTTCATCGTCTCCCCGTCATGTCACTTTAAGTCCCAGCCAGGTGAAGAAAGCAAAAACCACATTAAGGCACAGCACGTGAGTTGGAGCTGGCGCTACTGCCATTTTTGACTCATAGAGGGGAAATTTTAAATCTCAGACTTCATTCCTCTCACACCATGATAGTCCCTTCAAATCTTCATTATTATTGGTTAAAATTAGCAAAATTATTTGGGTGAGGGTCTGGGGGCTTTTCGTCAAACGCAGTGACAGTGACCCTTAGAAAGAAAAAATGCTCAAACTGCAAGGCAGGTGAGTGGTTAGACTCACTGGGAGTCTGATCAACACAGGACTTACTCTCCATTTGCTCTTGGCGAAGTTCTTCCGGATCTGGGCACTGACGGACTCGTGGATGTTCTTGTTGAGGGCCGTGTCCCCTGCGATCCTGAAACACAGGCAAAGATGCTTCTTCTGAAGAGGCTCTTGGGGGGCTCTGGCACGGGTGGACCCTGCTTTCCTGGAAGCCTCATCCTGACCTTTTCCCGAGGGTGCTGGCTTGGCCCCGCCCTTCCAGGCTGCTCCTGTCTGTGCACAGATCACAGGCACTCCAAGGTCTGTCGATTTCTACTCCAAGTCCTGTCAACTTCCACACACTGCAACCTCTCCAGGGAGGGTCAGCACCTTCGTGGTTGACCTCTGCCTGACTCTCACTTTTTCCTTTTTTGACCCCCATTCCTGCGGCATCCACTATGACAACACACCCTGACCTCAGTTTCCATCCTTCTCCCCCTTCCTTCTCCCTCCCCCCACCTCTACGCCAGTTTTCTATCTGCAGCTTCGCCTCCACCATCTCAAATGTGTTCCCTGCCTGGTCTGACCACCAGAACCCTCCCAGGCCTTCTTCCCAGCCTCCTCCTGCCTGAGGCCCCTCTCTGCCTGCTCTGGGCCCTCCTTCCTGTGGACCAGCTCACACCTGCGGCCCACAGCTCCCTTCTGGTTCCATCCTCACTGAGCTGAGCTCTGCAGCATCCGCTCACCTACAAGCACCCTGGGCACCAGCCCCCTCTCTGTGCTCGGGGTGAGGGCCTAACCCTAGCTCAGCTCTGCTTGGCACCCCTACTCCTGAATTTCCCAGATAAGCCCTCATAAATGCCAGGACACATCCACTTTACAGTCAGCTGGGTCCTTGGTGTTACCGGGCACTAGTTCTTGCTTGTCCCTTAGTCTTCTATTAGCAAAGAAGAAGGTAGGTTTGCTCTTTACCTCCTGTCCTTAGAGTTCCCCTCAGCCTATGACTTCCTCCCTCTGCCCCCACCCCATCTTACACCTCCCTCTCTCCTCTTCTCTCTTCCCTGACAGCCTCTCTGGTCTTAGTCATCACCCGCAGGTCACTCCTAGCCCATTCCTCTCCCACACATCCCTTCCCTCCCTCACACCACCCTCCCTCCACATTCACCGCTGGCCTCCCCCAGGGTCAGAGGAAGCTGTATTTTGCGCTTAGTCCTCTGGGCTTGGAACCTTCCATCTTTCCTTATCAGCAAACCAAGACATTCTAGGTTCATCTTTGATGCCTAAAAAATAATTTCTTGCATCTTGGAGAACTTAAAGGGCAGACAGGTGACGGGGACGCTGAGCATCCTTCCTGGCTGGAAGGTTTGTGAGGAAACCTGTCGCTCCCAGACCCAGAGGGTCCTGGACACTAAGCAGCCCGGATGCCAGACTATTAAGTCCACATGTGTTGGGAAATGAAAGGAAGATGCTCAGGGCTTATTCAGACAAGAAATAATCCCCGGATACAAAATGTATTCCTACCCAGCCTTTCACGTTAGAACTGAAAACATGGCTGAGGGACTGAACATGAAGCCTGTGCCAGGCTGGGCCTACGTCTCAAATCCAGTCTGATGTTCCTGCTCAAAGCAGCTCCCCCTACAGACCCTGCTCCCAGCAGGACTGAAGGCACTTAGCCCAGAGGACACTCAGACCTAACCTCGTGGCCAGATTTCCACTTCCAACAACTGCCAGTCACCCTTCCCCCAGACACACTGTGAACAGAGATAGGATGTCTGAGTGGGCAAGCATCCCAAACCTGACAGCCAGGGGCCGGGGCTGTGGACATGGTTAGCAGGCGTCTTCTCCTGGAGAGCTCGTGAGTAATTCCTCCTGCTCTGTTTATAAAGCTACATCCTCAGGAAAGGAGACCACTCCAACCCGGTGGCCAGCTCTTTCTTGGAAACAGCTGCACAGAGTGGTAGGAAGTATGGAACTCGCGGGGCTGAGCACGGCCACAGTGCAGAGCCGCCCTCCAAACCAAACAGGCCAGCGAGCAGGCAGACACTCCCTTCTCTGTGGGTGAGCGTGGGCCCAGATGGAAGGAAAATGCACACTTCCAATTATCTCAGGAATGTTCCATGCTCCTTTCCCACAGCCCTAGGGGAAGCCGCGCTGGGGAAGAACCAAGCAGGGCAGATGCAGCGTCCTCAGGCTCCTGCTGGGCAGTGGCCCTGGGGAGCAGTCGCCTGGGCTGCCAGCACAGGCTCCCCCTCCCTGGGCACCGCTGGGAAACGGAGGCTGCTGCTCGCAGGAGCAGGCCGGCCACAGCGACAAGGTGTGGGCTCCTGAAGTTCAGTGCTGCTAGGTCAGCCTTAGCATCAACAAAAGGAGGCAGGGAATCAGAGAACTGGAAGGAGCCTTAGTTGTCATCTCATTGTCCTAGGAATACGTGATACGTGATGCCTCCACTACAGGAGAATTTCCTTATAAACACACACACACACACACACACACACACACACACACACACACACACACACGTCTCCTATTATCCCTTGCTTTTCAGTTTTTTCCTCTATTCCAACACTGCAGGTGGCATTTCTATAAATCGCTCTGTCCTCCGCCACACAGAGCACCAACTCATCTCTCCTGGCCTTGGAGTTCTTGGTGTTTCCTATACAGGCTGCTCTGCCTCCACAGTTCTGACTTTGCATTTTTCTAGCCACTTGCTCAAGACCGGCGTGGGGATGACTGTGTGCCTCAGTCGGGGTCTCCTAGACTCCCGGGCTGTGTCCTAATTCCAGCGTGGCTGGATGGAGACAGAAGATGGACCCTGGCCTGGCTGACATGGCAGGTCTGAAGGTGGGCACACTGCCATTGTCATGGGCACCGGTCACTGGGGCCCAGGATCATCACTCTGGTTTGCTTGTCACTCACTGAAACTGGAGACTGAGGTTCAGAGCAATCTGAACCCCATCAAGCTGCTTCCCTGTAACCAGGAGTGGGTTCCCACATGCCGCTTGCCATTCCCTACTCTTTGGCCGCCAGCCAGCAGCCTGCAGGCCCCTGTCCATGCACCACCAGGAGAAAGGCAAGGCCTGCAGGGCGGCTCAGGAAACACCTGGTGCGGTGGGCGGCTGCCCTCCACAAGGAGCCCCTCCTGGCTGGAGTGTCTGCTTTGAGGCTAAGGGAAGGCGTCTGTGACTTCCAGAGGCCTCTCCTGGCCCTCGGTGGCCTTGATTACGCTGGAAGAGCAAGTGCAGAATAAGAGGAGCTGCCCTCTGGAGAGAGTTGATGTGTAGAGACGGCGGATTCCAGAATGGTGATGCCCACAGAGCCAGGCATCACCGGGACAGCCACTCCACTCCTCGCTGGCTCTCAGCTGAATCCACGTTCTTCTTCACCCGGGAACTTCACATAAATGAAACAGGCATAGCATACAGGCAAGCAAGGGGGCTTTTAATGATGCTGGAGTCAAATGCATTCTTTCTTCTTCTTCTTTTAAAAATCACTTTCCAATGTTTGACTTCTTGGGAATTTGGAAATGAATAGTAAAAATTATAAAACACTGGAGGGAAAAATACCCCTGAAGAAGGCATTTATGTGTTCAGTTCGCAATTAACATGTCCTAATGTGACCCAGGCTGATGACTCAGGTCTTCAACTCTTGCACTTTTCCCCAGCCCCAGACTCATTCAGCACAGCACACACCACAGTCACCCTCTCCTGGGCTGCCAGGTTGAGTTTTCTGAAATGTAAATCTGATCACCCTGCTTAAAACCTGCCAGGGCCCCCACTGCCCAAAGGGAAAAGTACACATTCCTTAGCACAACCCTAAAATAATGGCAATTCTTATAGATTGGAGACTTATTAGGTCCTAGGTACTCGTCTTCTCTTTTGTATGTATTGTCTCATTTAACCCCTGGAAAAGCCCTGTAGGGTATATACTACTGTTATTTATGATCTCAATTCTACAGGGGAGGCCCAAAGGGTCAAAGAGCTTGCCCACCACTCAGTAATAGTGGTGAAACCAGGACAAGCAGGGCTCATGCCAGAACCCTAGTTCTGCCTTCCTTTCTAGTCTCATCTCCCACCTCACTCCTCTGTCCCTCTTGCTCCAGGAATACCTGGTGCTGTGGCAAGAGGGATGGGTGTGTAGCATATGCCGCCAGCAGGACCCAGGCGGGTGAAAGGGTTCTCTTAGCGTGCGGCTCGCATCGCTGTGAAGTCCTTGATTCTGCTGAGGCCACCCTGTCCCTCTGCTTCTGCTGAGGCCACCCTGTCCCTCTGCCAGGCCCTTCAATGACCTCTCCTTTGGTTTTTCAAAAATGGCTGGTGAAGGAGAAACTGGGCTTTAACCCTCCTTCTGCCTTCCACGAAGTGAGGCTGTATTAGTGAACAAGTACTTGGAAGCAAATCACTTCCCTTCTTCCTTTTTAAAATCCTCACTGGAGGATATATTTATATATCCATTGATTTTAGAGAGAGTGGAAAGAAGGGGGTGGGGGAGAGGAGAGAGAGAGAAACATCGATGTGAGAGAGCCACATCAATTGCCTCCCACACTTGCCTCAACCAGCATGGGGAACCTGCAACCTAAGTACGTGCCCTTGACTGGAATTGAACCCACGACTCCTTGGTTCAAGTGCCAATATACTGACCACTGAGCCATGCCCTTCCCTTCTTTTGAGGTCATTTCCATCCTTTATAAGATAATCCCAAAAGTCTCATACATATAAGACAAATGAGTCCTGGTGATGGAATGTACGTGATGAGTACGGTTACACTACTGTATGGTATATCCTAAAGCTTCTCATTACAAGGAAAAAACAATTTTGAAGGTGATGGATGTTAACTCAACTTATTGTGGTAATCATTTCACAGTAAATATGAATGTCAAGTCATTCTACTGTACACCTTAACCTTACACAGTGTTGTATGTCAATTATATCTCAATAAAACTGGAAAAAAAGGTCTTACAGATTTAAAGGCCCATTGTTTAAAAGGTAAGAAAACTTGATTATCTTTATGGCCACATACTTTGACCTATTGTACAGAATGACTTACTAAAACAAATGATCAAGATGATATATAATAAAAACTGCCTCCTTACCCAGAAAATTATTTATTTACCCCTCTAGCCCTTTCCTTCTTTCCCCTTTACATCTCTTATCTGCAGGTGGGGAAGAGCACTCATTTTGGAGTCCCCCAGTTCTGGCTGGAAACAGTTCTGGCTTTGCCATTACGTAGTTGTATTGTCTTGGCTAAGTTACTTCACCTTTCTAAATCCATTTCCTTACCTCTGACATGGAGATAAAGCCTACCTTACAAGGTTATTGTAAAGAAGCAAAATGAGATACTATTAATGCAGTTAGTACAGTACCTGGAACATAATAGATGCTCAATAAATGATGGCTGTTATTATAAATTAAAATGCTGTGAAACTGGGTCATGGCACTACCCTAAGCAGCTCCTCTCTGGGGGTTAACCAGCATATGAGACCCTGGAGGAAATGCCACAAGGGATGATGGAATAAACCCAGGGACAGTCTTCTAGAGTGTTTCCTAGAGGGAATTTCTCCCAAAATCAAAGTTCCATTCATTTGTTTTCATTATATTGCATATTTTAATACTCCTGGCCTTTGTTTCAAGTGGATGCTCCTGTTGCTTTAGCAATAACAGCTAACGAAGCATTTACTCTATACCAGACATCGCAACAAACCCTTGACATGCATTATTTCAGTTATTTCTTACGTCAACACTATCAACTAGGTATCGGTACCCTCATTTTAAAGATGAGAAAACTGGGGCAAGAGAAGTTAAGTATAAAGCCAAAATCACAGCTAGTTGATAGTGAAGGTGGTTCAAATCTACTAAGTTTTATAACCAACATGGCCTCAAGGGCACTACTGAAATGTACATAGAATGCATTAACCATCGGCTGATCCCTCTGGAAGTGAAGAAAGACTAACTTGAAAAGCATCTTAGAAGGGAAAAATATATAACTCAATTCATTTAACTACTGAGCAATAAACCCAAGGGAATAAAACTCCCATCTTAATGCCTCGTTGGGCAATTACCTTCACTAAAAATGGTCCTAAAATATTCATGTAAAGTGAAAAAGCTACAGCTATCTTTCCCACACTTAACCTGTCATTAGTGCACTTGGGAGGCTGAGCCTGAGAACAAAAGATCCCGCGTGCTGGCATGGGACAGTATCGAGGCCCCTGGCAGAGGGACATGCAAGCATTGCTGGGCTTTCCCAGTTCCTGACAGCCAACAGGACGTCACCCTGGGAAGGCGGTAGACACACGATCTCTCTAGTGGGTGGTTATTCTTACCATGGGTGCCGAGCTGCCTGCTCACATGTGTATCTTTTGTTTGGATCTTTCTCCATCAGATTCCGAATGAAGTCTTTTGCTGTTCAGAAAGGAAGCACAAGGGAAGGAATCAGTCTGTGGCTTGAGCTATGATACCCGCAGTCTCTGAGAGTGTCGTGTACAGCATGGAAATGACGAGACCAGCCCTCCACAGCCCTTACCGTACCCTGGACACGGGTACCAGCATTTGGGGAAAAGGGAAGCCCAGGTTTGGAGCTCTGAATGGTGACCTGCCAGTGAAGAGGCAGCCAGGCCAGGGCTGGGCCCTTCCCTCCCAACTCCAGCCCCTTTCCTCTGGCAGCTAGGGGCACTTTAGGTTCAGAGATGAAATATCTTTGTCACCACGGGACTTTCATTCTGCTCACTGCTGCCATGGGGAGCTGGTTTGTGGATGTCCTCTGCATGTTTTAGAATTCAACATTTGCTAAGCTGGCCAGGTCCTGACTAGCTGGTGCAGTGAGATGGGCCCTGGTGGGAAGTGCAGTGCTTGAAGGCCCTGGATGGGGTGTGGCCCAACAGCAAACAACTGAGAACATGTGAGACCAGGTCACAGGATCGGAAGATGACAGCTGTGGGGCAGGCTGGGAATCTGCAGCCTCTATGGTCTGGCAGCTCACTGCCCGCAGCCTGGGCTTCTGGGGGAAGGCCATGCCCTTCCCAGGTGAGAAGTAAAATATTCCCCACATGGCTCTTTCCTGCAAGCCTTGGAGAACTGTTCTTCAGGTTTTGGAAGATTGAGGAAGGAAGCAGATGTTTCCAGTTAGAAGGAAATAACACAAATAAGAAAATGCAATATTTGAATAGCTCATCAGTGAGTACAAAACTCTGTTTCATTTATTGTTTTATTTGATTCTTATACCATCCTTCTTGATAGGAAGTATTACTACTGTCCTCTTCGTATCAGCTTGAGAAATTTCGTCAGTTTATGTGGGCCTTGGTTTTGACCTTTACCCCCGAGGAAGAAACGCTGAACTTCCCTGGGGACGTTTTAGTGTGGTGTGGTAGCTGAGACGTGGGCTCTGGATTTGGTCTTGGCTTGAGTCCCAGTTCTGCCACATACTACCTGTGTGACTTGAGACAAGTTATTTCACCTTCTGGGCCTCAGTTTCCTCATCTGTCAAATGGGTTAATAGCAATACCATCTGATAGGTTGTCCTGAGGATTGAGTGAGGGAGCAAATGTGCACAGCTTCAGGGCTCAGGACACAGTAAGCACTCAATAGATATTAGCTAATATGGTTTCACTCCTTGGGGCACCCAGGTCAGGGCAAGGCTAGGATTTGGTAGAGGAGTGAGTCCCTGTCCCATGACTTGATTTGGGCCCCCTGCCCTCCACTTTGCTAGTCAAGCCCAAGTGCAGAGCGTCCTGTCAGGTCAGGTGAGGGTGTACCGTCCCAGGGCGGCCCACCAGGAGCCAAGACTTACCAGAGTCAGAGATGTCATCCCAGTAGGGGGAGTCGAACTCATACTCTGCCTTGAGGATCTGTTCAAAGAGCTTGGAGTCATTTTCATCATAAAAGGGAGGGTAGCCACAGAGCCTGGAAGACAGGATAAAGGAAGGATCTGAAACACCGCATCTCCAGTGTGGCAGTCAGACAACTGCCTGCAAGGAAGGCCGTTTCACTCCAGTTGAGAAAACCCCACTGTGCGCGCTGCAGACACAGTCTCAGCAAGGCTCACACACTCCGCAGGCACAGGCAGCACACAAGTGAATCGTGGTGCACTCAAGAACAAAGAGGGCCAACTCAGGTGATAACTGAGGTCCACACTGATTCCATACATCATTCAACACAGAGTCGCATACACCTAAAACCCACCAGACAGCCTTCTGTGTATAAATGTTATTGCTCTTATTGTCTATGATATTGCCTCTTTATAGATGATGGGTCAGTCGGGGAAAAAACCATAAAATGTAAGTTTATTATCCATTTAGGGCCTGTTCTAGGTTCATTTTGTTTAATAAATCATCATAGGAAGAAAAAGAAATTTTATCAGCGTGAGTACCAAGTTGCCACAAGTCACCTTAACTTGTACGCTATCACCCTATCATGCCAACCCTGGGTATTTTAAAGGTTATAGTTTTGCCTATTAATATGCAATAAGCATAAGTTGGCACAAATTAGAATACTATCACCCTTTTCCATTGAACCCTTTCAAAGTTGATTTTTAAATTGGGATGTTGGTGCAAGTAACATATAGTTCTGGAGATACCGACAGTCGTTTAACAAACATAACAGAAGTAGGAATTTTTATTAATAACCCCAAATACAATTCATTCCATAAAATCGTAGGTTCTCACTCTAGTTCTACTATCATCTCCAATGCGACTTTCACCATCAGTAGGCCACTGATACTCTCTGGACCAAAATTTTCTCATCTGAACATGGAGAGGACAGACCAGAAAATTCCTTATATTATATCTGGCTTTAAGATACTATGTTTCTGTGACTTCCTGTCCCGTTTTGCTTGGCTGGTCAAGACCCAGGGGAAGGTCTCGTACGTGCTTGAGGTCCACATGGGGCAGAGACAGGCCCAGTTGGGAATGGACAGTGGAAAGGGGTAGGATTGCGGCTGGGGCTGTCAGGTGGACAGAGCAGGAGGCAGGGCTGGGTTCTGGAAGGCCAGGTGTCAGCTGGGTAGCACAGAACTCGCCCTTGACAGCCCAGCACGTGGCAGCCACAGTGGGAGTTCCACCCCCACAAAAGTTCCTAATCTTCCCACATAGCCAAACTGCGCAGAACACAGCTACAGCCTAAAGATCGGTGTAATGAGAACAAATGAACAGGAATCAACAGACTCCAGGCCTGCACGGGACGAGGCTTGTCAGCAAATAAGGAATTGCCACTCCTGCCACAAAACACAGTGTCACCAGCCAGGCTGCACAGGGGACTGGCTGGTGACATCTTTAATGGCTATAAGACCTTCTTGGGCTGATAGGATTCTAAAGCATCTATCCCCACAGGGCTGAGTTAGGATCCAAGTACCTATTTCATTAAAAATATTTTTATTGATTTCAGAGATATGCAAAAAATGTTTTGAGTACAGAGAGCATGGACATTGAACCGGAATAGTTTTTTGAGGGTGGAAGTAGCAGATGCCTGTGCTTTGTCTCAGGATGAGCAGAGTTTTATAGGAGACAGAGGAGCCGCAGTGGGGAGGGCTAACCAGGAATAAAGGCATGGAGGCATGAAGGGCACAGTTTATTCAAGAACTAAGAGCAATTTGCGGCTGCTCTGGCGTAAAACCTGTCAGTGAGTAGTAGAGACGGTGGTGAAATCGACAGTGGGAGGCCAGGGAGGCTGTGCTCCCACACCGAGGTACCAGGTGTACCGGTTAATAATACGGATTTTTTCAGTAGATGGAGTTACACATATGTTGATATATATGCGATTTGATATGTATGCTATTTTGTTGTATTGACAGCAAGCTTCAAAACTTCATATGTCAAATTTGCTGAAGATGTTAACATCATAGATATTCTTACGCTTAAAAATGTTGAATTTTGTGCCAAAAAAAGAGCATTTGCGGGAAGTTTTAATTCATTTTGAAGAAAAGTGCTGCTGAAAGTTATCATATACTTTGGGAAGCTTATGGTGAACATGCTTCATCTCAAGATACTTGTGAACGCTGGTTTAAACGCTTTAAAAGTGATGATTTCAATGTGAAAGACAGAACGTCCAGGTCAACTGAAAAAGTTTGAAGACCAACAATTACAAGCATTATTGGATGATGATGCATGTCAAACTCAAAAACAACTTGCAGAAAGATTAAACATTGCTCAGCAAACAATTTCTGATCGTTTACAAGCAATGGAAAAGATTTCAAAGGAGGGAAAATGGGTGCTACATCAACTGAACGAAAGACAAATGGAAAATCAAAAAGTCATCAGTAAAATGTTGCTTCAATGGCATGAAAGAAAGTCTTTTTGCATCGAATTGTGACTGGCGAGGAAAAGTGGATCTATTTTGAGAACCCCAAACCCACAAAATCATGGGTTGATCCAGGTCAACCATCCACATCGAATGCAAGGCCAAATTGCTTCGGAAAGAAGACAATGCTCTGCGTTTGGTGGGATCAGGAAGGTGTGGTGTATTATGAGCTTCTAAAACCAGGTGAAACTGTTAATACTGATCGCTACTGACAATAAATAATCCATTTGAACCATGCTTTGATTGTAAAACGACCAGAATGGGCCAGAAGACATGGCAAAGTAATTTTGCTTCATGATAATGCACCATCACACACTTCAAAACCAGTTAAAGACATGTTAAAAGATCTTGCCTGGGAAGTATTAACCCACCCGCTGTATTCACCAGACCTTGCCCCTTCAAATTACCACTTGTTCCAATCCATGGCACACACACTTTCTGAGCAGCATTTCAAAACGTATGAAGAAGTGGAAAATTGGGTCTCTGAATGGTTTGCCTCAAAACAAGAAAAGTTCTATTGGGACGGATCCACAAATTACCTGAAAGATGGGGAAATGTGTAGCTAGCGATGGACATTACTTTGAATGAAGCACTTTTGATGTTTCTCTTGAAATTATCGTGTTTCCTTTGATTACAAAATCTGCATTATTAACCGGTACACCTGGTAGACTGCCTATCCTTCAGGTACCAGGAAGCCCCCAAAAAGTATAGACAAACTTTGCAGCTGAGGGGAGGGTAGACATGAGGCAGGAAGACAAGCAGCTGTACCAAGCCAAGGAAGGACAGGTGTCTGCAGGTGGTGGCAGCTGGATCGGGGGGACAGAAAGATCCCCACAGGAGTTCAGAGAGAAAACACCGGAGGGTCTGGGGTTTTCCGTGTGGCAAGTGAAGGCCAGGGCAGCAGGTCTCCAGCAAGGACCGGGGCTGCCATCTCCGTGGTGAGGACACAGGAGGAAGAGAAGGTCCATGAATGGCCCTATGTCACCACAGCACCTGGAGTTCCAACTCCTCCTTCGCTGGCCCCACTCAGGGAAGTAGCTCTGGGCAGCTTCTGTGTGTGTGGTGGGGGGAGCCTGACCCTCCACTGGGGGACCCGTGGGACAGCCTGACATTAGCAGTAATTAGTTCTTGTAGCCACACTGGGTCTTGCCTAGGTTTGGGCTGAAGACTAGAAAAGGCTGTGAGGAGAGGGAGCTGATGGTGCAGACATGGAGAGAGCAGCAGATATGCCAGGAGGGAAATACCAGCTCAGGGGTGAGGCTGTGAGAGGGGCCCGTGCCCGGGGCTGTACCAGTGTTGGGGGCTTCTGTTCAGCCTACACAAAGCTGTGCAACAAATCCCTTTTCCTTAATGTAACTGGAAAGAGTCTGTTCTTTGCAACTAAAAGCACCAGCATCCCACAGTGGATAGATGAACAATTCCATTCAAGCTGTGGTGAGCTGGACCAGGTGTGTGTGAGGGCAGCCAGCAGGCAATGGGGACACACGCCTGAAGCCAGGGACTTGCTGTGGTCTGGGATGCTAAATTAAAGCCATCATCATTTGCATGCAAGCTGGGAGAGTGGGTAAGATCACTCAGCAAGAATTTATAGACACTGGAGCTGCGGACTGATCCTCCACAGGCTTCATCTGGCCCACAGATGTGTGTTGTACACTAGTGGCCAGCAGTGACTGAAAACAAACGTGCCTTCGAATGCCCATAGACAGTGCTGATCCAGCCAGTTCACCACAGTCTCCACTAGTCCCGATTGCTCACACCCAGCTAGACACATGTACATCCTCTACCACCGGGCCCTCCTTTCTCTAAGTTGGTGCCATTGAGTCGAGGGCCACAAATGGCGGTCTGCAGAAGGCAACTTTTAGGGGGAAGAGGGGCTGTAGCATTGTGTTAGGCGCTGCTGGCTACAAGAGCTGCATGAGAGTTCCTGCTGTCATAGATGCCCAAACGGGTGTGTGTGTGTGTGTGTGTGTGTGTGTGTGTGTGTGTGTGTGGTTTCCTCCTTGGCAATTGCTGCAAGAATTTGGGGAGAGTGAGAAGCCTGAGAGTGGTGATGAGGGAAGGCTCCTGGGAGGAGGTGTGACCTGTGCTGTGATTCCAGGCCGGGCCCATCAGACTCACCTGGGAAGCGAGTAAAACCCTGAATCCTCCAAAAACTGAGTGGGTCCAAATCTCTAAGAGCTGGGCCCAAGTGCCTTTACTTTTCTTCTTTTTAAAAAAACAAAAACCTTATATAGGAATTCATGCTCATAGTTAAAAAGTTCAAATATAGAAGAGTATAGGGAAAATTTCCTTCCTGATCCACATTCCCACTCCTGCTATTAATTTCCTGTGAATGCTTTTCAGAAATTTTCTTGGCATATAAAGCATGGATGTATGTGCATGTGGGACAAGATTTCAAATTACCTGGAAGTTTAGCATTGACTCTATAGCTGTATACGAACAGCTCGTTTGTTTCTTTGCATGTTCCAGAAAGTCCCTAGCAGGGGGAATACGCTTGATTTTTCCCTCTCGGGTATTCACTGAGCATCAGCCGCCCCTTCCTGCCTTCTGACCCAGAAGAGAGCACAGGCCTGCCGCAGCCGCCCCACCTCCTGGGCAGGCCCTCAGGT